CCGAACGATAATGAGAGGGTTTCCATTATTTTCGGGTGAGCGCCCCTGGCAGATGCCGACAGCCAGCAGATGTGTGAGGTCCGAGGTGATTTGCAAGGGACCAGTTCATGTGATGCACAGTAATTGCACCAGGCGACGTTGTCACTCAGAGGCTTGTCCTGGCCTGCCGGGATGAGGTAAAGGTCAGTTCAAAGATCTGGTGTGGCCGCCGGAAGTGGGGGCAAGTCTCACTCTCGTGGGACTCCCGGGGAGGGGGCGGCAGGGTGAGGTGGTGGCCGAGGTCTCAGAAAGGCGGTCTGGCTGGAGCCGCACCCTGGGATGCCAGGGTCCTGCAGTAGGACCCCCGTTCTAGGGGTTCTTGGGTTTTGGGGGTGGGGATAACTCCTGGAGCCGGGCCCAGCCCGTGGCTGAAATCCTGTGGCTGAAATCCTGTGGCTTTGCTTTCCTGAGCTGAAGGCCTGAAGCCATGCCTGCCTGGGGCTTTCCCTACATTCAGAATTCTTGTGTTCCAGGCCTCGTCAGGCCAAATCTGTGACATCTGGCAAGGATGGCAAGGACCCTTCCCCCCCAAGAGATGCTGAGGGTTTGGTTCGTGGGCTGTCTTAGTCTGTACCGACACATCGAAAAACCACAGACAGACGTTTGCTGGGAAGTCCGGGATCTCGTGCCTGCAGCATTGGTTTCTGGTGACACTTCTCGTCCTGGCTTCTTGGTGGCACAGAGAGAGAGGGCTCTGGTGTGTCTGCTAAGGGCACGGATCCTGTCCTGTCACAGGACAGGTGTGACACAGCGTCAGGACAAGTGTCCTGCCACACTTGTGGCCTCATTATGTCCTGAGGGCTTCAACATAGGAATTTGCAGGGTGGGGGACACAACTCAGCCCGTAGCATTGGCCGTCCTGGGCCTTTCCTTCCGCGCTGATCCATCATGTTGCACTTTCTGTCCCCCGTGCCCCACGCATGCACCTGGGCTGCTGGGTCTCGCCTGGGCACGGCCCTTCCCTGACTGGAAAAGCACAGGCCTGCACACGCCACCCCTGTGTTGTCGGTTGATAGCTTGCGGGCTCTGCTACTTAGAAGCTGCATGACTTTATAGGTCTGCCTCTTGGAGCCTCTGTTTTTCTCATCTCTGGAATGGGGACGATGGTTTCGGTCTCTCGGCTCGTTACTCAGCTCTTTCCTGGCCCAGGGGGTGCATGTAGGGACTACAGACTGCGTGGCTTTGGACGAAATCAGATCACAGGTATTGAGCCCCGAGGCAGGGCTCACTATAGTAATTTGTATTCATACTTTACTGTTCTAAGGACACACATTTCTATTATCTGCAGTGATTACAAGAAATGGAGACGGGATCTGGGACTCTTCTCAAATGGTCAGAAAGGGGGACGAACAGACCCACAGGGAAGGGATTTCTCAAACCTTTTACAGTAGGTTTTTCAGGGACTGATCTAATCCTAAGACTAGTACTTTGATTTTAAAGCATGTGGTTTTACTTACTTACTTACTTATTTATTTATTTATTTATTTATTTATTCATTTATTTATTTTGAGAGAGAGTGTCCAAGGGAGGGGCAGAGAGAGAGGGAGAGAGAGAATCCCAAGCAGGCACCTTGCATTGTCAGTGTGGAGCCTGACATGGGGCTCGAACCCACAAACCTCGAGATCGTGACCTGAGCCGACACCATGAGTCAGACGCTTCACCGACTGAGCCACCCAGGCGCCCCTAACGCACGTGTTTTATGAACTCAGGTTGGGATTTCAAAGGGGACCTGTGGCCGTGGCCAAAGTGTCCCGAAGTCAGTTCTGTTATTTGCTCATTTGTCATCGGCGTCTGAAGTTGCACTCTGAATAGCAGATGTGAGGCTCAGTCATCTCACTGTCACGCCGATTGTTCACTGTTCTGAGAAGGTCACATCATCATTCATTAGCACTAATTAGTCCCCCGACACCCCTGCACCTCTTCCCTCAACTGCTCCATTAACTTGGGTGCGAATCACACGTTCCAGGCGCCAATCAACGAAGATCTGTCCATAATGCACAAGGTGATGCTATTAGTTACAATATATTAACTGCCTAATTTAAAAATACAAAAGCTATCTTTATGAAGGGCAATTAACCACTAACGTGATTGATAATTCATAACACTCTAATTAGGAAAGACAAATATTAAGAAAGGACTGAGCCACCTGGGCTGTTGATTGAGACATTGTTAGCCTCTCGGTGTGTGTTCACTCTGTTATTGGTAGATCTACGGATTTCTTGCCAAGTGGCACCTGTCAGCCCCAGTGCACGGAGGGTCAGGAGGCTGATCTTAATGTGGGAACACGTGTTCTCCCCGCTGAATCCTGCCTGTTGCCAGCGGGGCTTGTGAGGGAGCTGGAGGCTCAGGACACCCTTGGGGGAAGCAGTAAGTGTACTAAGGAGGGTCCCTCTCGCCGGCGGTCATTTGGATTTTCCATCCCTCAGTCATTCAGCAAATGCTTATGGTGAGCCTGCCTCGTGCCCAGCCCTGTGCGAAGCACTGGGGATGCCGAGGAGAACAGACCAGATGTCATTCCTGGTCTCATGGTGCACGCAGGTCTGGGAGGGAGACAGTAAGCAAAGGTATAAATCGGATGATTTGATTGGCGATGCTGGCTAGTGTTATAAAGAAAGAAAAATACAGATAGGTAGTATGAGGGCAGCGTCGCACAGGGTGGAGAAGGGGACGCTGGACAGACATACCACCTTTCCCCCAGTTCTGTCATCGCTAAGGAGTGTTGCATTTGGAGCTCCCTCCACCCCAGGATGGAGTAGATTGCCTGAGGCATCCCTACCCGCTCAGTGAGTCTCCTTTCCAGCTTCATTTTCTGGCTCAGCTTCCATCTACCCAAGGCTGCTAGAAGATTCTGACACCTGACCGGGTCCCAGGAGGGCAGGGCCTGCCCCGCACCTGCTCCTCCCTCCCTGTGCTCCGCCCACCCTTCCCTGGCCTTCTTGTCTGTGCTGCAAGAGATTCTAGTTGGACCTGGCTCTTCTGGGAAGTCTTCTCTGAGACCCCATCCTGGGATGAGACCTTTCTGTCCTCTGGACCCCCTTTGGCCTTGTAGGCCACCGTGGATGTGCTTCCTGTTCCTGACTCCACATCAGTTCCAGGATCTGCTTTGGGGTCGAGTAGGAATGAGCCCACGTCCCTAGAGTCTCAGATCCAGGAAGAGGAGCAGAAAGTCCTTGAACTTTCTGAGACTCAAGTGTCCTTAGTCATCAAGCAGGATAAAAAGTGTCACTGCTAGGGTTGGGGCACAGTAGCACTTTTGGTTGGGTCTCACTTATTTGCCCAAATGGAGATTGAGTTCAAGTGCGTAGTTCTGAGTAACTGGGTCCAATCTGTGTGTTTACTTCTGCACACGGGGCTGTCTCTGAGCACGCGATTGGAGCCCGTCTCTCTCGTACATGAATATCTATGTCTAAATAACAAATGTTACGTACTTAACACTGGATTAAATGTATTATTTATATTACTAAAAACTGTAAAACTTGAAAGGTGGCTGAAAAGTAAAGGTGAATTCCTGCATGTTTGGAGACCACTGACGTGCGTGTGTCTGGAGATCTGTCTACGAACAGTGCTGGGTGACGATTAGCGTACCTGGTTAACTTTACTAGGGGTTTCCCGGGCCTCCCGACTTGTGGCCTGGTGTCTTTTCCACGATCCCACGGTGCCGAGTAGGACTGCTCCTTTGTCCCGGCCGCGGCTTGTCCAGAGAGGGCTGTGTGTTCTGGGCCAGGGCCCGTGTGGACTTCCCGCCTCCTACTGGACCCCTGGCTCGTGGGCTCAGCCATGCCAGCCTCCTTTCCTTCCCTGTGCCGGGCTCCCTGTGCCCTGTTCTCCCTTCAGGCCTCAGCTCCCGAGCAGTCTCCCCACCCACTCTGGTCCCCATCTGTCTCTTCATCCCGTCCAGTCCTTCAGAGCACCTCTCTGTTCGCAAATCACAAATTCGCCTTCCTTTGCGAAGTTTCCCTCCCGCCCACCAGATTGTGGCTCCAGGGGAGTGGGGAGCCTGTCTGCGGTCAAGGTTACGGTTCGGTGCACTGGCCCAGCCAGGCCACTTAGTAGGTGCTCAGTAACCTTGTGGGAGGTTGCGTGTTATTGCCTGTGGGGCCTCTTTACGCATCTACGTTGTGGCTTTGCGTTCTGAGAGCCTGCCCAAGTGCAGCCAAGACGGAGCAGGTGTCCTGTGAGAGAAGGAATGTGGGTGCTGCTGACCTTTCACAGCACCTCAGGGTCACGTCCGGTTAACGCTGGGCCTGCAGGGGATCCCCGTGTCCTGCCTGTCTACCCGGGATCGCCCTGGGTGACAGGGCACCTCAGTGATCGCCTCAGTGACACCAATGAGAAGACACAGCTGAGCTTGGTCCCTTATCCTTCGCACTTTAGGGGAAATACGGATCCCGAGTGACTTAGGCACACGCAGCTCACATGGCAAGTGGAATTGCTAACCGTGGAATGGTATAGAGAAGTTGCTGCGGACATGCATAGGTGATCTCCAGCCGGGCCGAGTGGGACCAGACGGTGGCGGGGGATCTCCAGGGGGTCTCAGAAGGTGGGAGAATTGGCACGTGTAGAGAGGCAACGTGTCTCAGGCAGAAGGAGTGGAGGAAATGTGTCCCAGGTGAAGGGTGTAGAGATGTGTCTCAGATGAAGAGGTGGGGACGTGGCCCAAGCAGAGGGAGTGGGACATGTCCCAGGCGGAGGGAGTAGAGACGTGTCCTGGGCACCAAGCTCAGTGAGGATGGAAAGGAGGGTTGTGGGGCCTGTCGGGGCTCCCTGGAAAGGGTCAGCCCTAGTTCGGCATCCCCGTCCTGACCCCAGGTCAGCCGAGGCCAATCTCTGGGAGCCACGGTGGCCTGGCCTGCGCGGAGGGTCCTGACTGCCCTTGGGAAGCGCCCATCTGGCTTCCTCCTCAGAGGCCGCAGGCTCTGAGGGCCGACAGCACCCTCTGCCTGTCCTGTTCCCACTTCCAGACTGAAGCGGTCCCAGCTGAAGGTGAGGTTCTGCACCAACGAGTCACAGAAGTCCCGGGGGGACCTGGTGGGGCTCCTGCGGCACATGGGCTTCGACATCTCTGAGGGCGAGGTGACCGCCCCGGCCCCGGCCACTTGCCTGATCCTGAAGGAGCGAGGCCTGCGGCCACACCTGCTCATCCATGACGGTAGGCCTGCTGGGCCTGGGCCTGGGCCTGGGGCTGGTGGGGGTGGGGGAGGGTGTCCCTCTCCCCTGGGCCAAAGTCCTGGGAAGGACAGGGAGAAATTTGGCTCCTGCTGGGGGCCTGTGAGATGGAAGCTGAGTGGGCTTCCTGCTGGGGACCAGGCCCCTTCCATCCCCGGCCTAATAGCAGACGATGAGGCACGTTCCAGATGCCTCAGGAACATCCTGAGCCTGCTCTCTTTGATCTAGAAGGGACCGAGGGGGGCAGGGAATTGTCACGGGGCAAAGTTCTAGCTTCTAGG